GGAATCTTACCAGATACATACAGTAAAGACTTGAAATATCTGATTGTTTATTTATTTATTTATTTGATTTGCCAATTGTTTACAAGATAATAAGTATAAGTGTATACATAGTTGTGAATACATGAAATGGTACATATAAGAAAAATAAAAGAAGAATAAGAGAAACAATAGGACAGGGACGGTAGGCACATTGGTGCGCTTATGCACGCCCCCTACAGACCTCTTAGGAAAGGGGTGAGGTCAATAGTAGACAGTCTAAGGTTAAAGTTTTTGGGGTTTGGGGAAGAAACTACAGAGTCGGGTAGAGTATTCCAGACATTGACCACTCTATTGCTGAAGTCGTATTTCCTGCAATCAAGTTTGGTGCGGTTAACTTTGAGTTTGTATCTATTGTGTGCTCTTGTGTTGTTATGGTTGAAGCTGAAGTATTCATTGACAGGTAGGACATTGCAATGTATGATTTTATATACCATGCTTAAATCAGACCGAAGACGGCGTAATTCAAGGTTTTCTAGTTCTAGAATTTCAAGTCTGGTGGCATAAGGTATTCTACAACGAGTAGAGGAGTGGAGAACTCTTCTTGTGAAATATTTCTGGACTTTCTCAATTGTGCTAATATCAGATACGTAATGTGGGTTCCAGACTGATGAACTGTATTCGAGTATTGGTCTAGCAAATGTTTTGTATGCTCTGGTTAGTAGTGTGATATTACTAGAGAAAAAGCTACATAGGATTAGGTTAACAACTCTTAATGCCTTTTTGGCTATGTAGTTGCAGTGGGCTCTAGCACTTAGAGCTGATTGTAAATGTATTAACAGCGGCTAGGATTGTATTTGCTAAAAACTGGAAGAATGAGAAAATACCATCGCAGGAAGAAATCATTAAGAAAATATTGGAATGTGCTGAGATGAGTAGATTGACATTTGAAATTAGAGAGCAAGAGGATAAACAATTTTATGAAATTTGGGATCTTTTTTATCAATGGCTAGATGACAAAATACAATAATAGAATATTTAGAATATTTAGAATGTTAGAAAGCAAGGAATATCTTTATTTATTTATTTTGCTTTTGTTATTTGACATTATATATATATAAAGTGTTTTTAGGATAGATCTGGTATGATTATATGATTTGTTATAGAATAAACTGTTTAAAGTATTGTTATCTCATAAAGCATGAATGATTAAAAGTATAGTCAAATGATTTTTTAATAGCGATATTAGAATGTATAAGTTTGGATTGACAATATGAGTTGTTATGTTATATAACTGTAATTGAGACTACGAAATGAATGCACAAAACTGATGAACCAACCGACACACTGTATGTACATAAGAGAGTTGATGTTTTAATGTTTTGTTTGTCTTGTTTGTTTGTAGAAAATCAATAAAATTGTTTTTTAAAAAAAGAAGAAATACATCTGGGACAATTAGTACTTTATATCCTGCTCTATGTCAAAAATATGTTTTCCAGTGGCTCATGATAGCAGAAATTGGTTCTCTGTCATTTGAGTTAAAGCAAAAACATAAGACATTGCCAAGAGGTTGATCAAACTGTAAGGTGACCCAATACTGACAAGCAGACAATTATCATACAACTTGGGAACCAAGTTCCCAACCAACTTGGGAAATTACAACCTGTTCAGCATGAAGAGGTGTGCTCTCCAGACTACATCACAAATTGATAGCCCCAATACACAAATAGGCTTTTATACACTTTTGGAAAACAAAGGAACATGATTATTAGCGAGCAATAGACAAGAAACGAACTATTCACACTCCTGGCAGAGGATGGCCTTCCCAGAAGATGGGTTCAATATTAAAATATTATATCATTCTGTTCCTATGGCTGATAAAGCTGGTAATTAAGTAAGCACAACTTTCTAGCTAATTTATCTGCAGTAGAAATGGGGAACTTAACCCTGAATCATCTGCTAGTCTGGTATAAGTAAGTTCCTTGATAAGGCTATCATCTGCTAGTCTGGTATAGTCTGATAAGGCTATCAAATAGCCTTCCAGGAATTTTGGGGCAAGGACATGAGGCTTAAAGGGAAGACATTAACAGTAAAATGAAAGAGGTTTTTTTTAATTTCCCCAGCAAAATAGAGATTCTCTGGCTCAAAGAAGATATACCACAGTGCTACAAAGATCAACAATTGCCAATAATTGAAGAATCCAGTTGAAAGAATGAATTTTTGAAATATTTTCCAAAAAACGTACTGTGTACTTGATAAACAGAAACTTAGACTTCAATTCAAGTGAGAGTCACCTACATCTGAAAACAGTAAAAACTTTCAAAAGATAACCTTACAAACCTAGAAGGATAAGAACTAATTTCATGACTTTTACTAGCTTCTAATGCCTTTTAAAGGCCCTATTACTCATAACCTTCCCAACCCAGTCACTGTAAAAAAAAGTTCCCTATAATATAGTGGAAAAATTAATACTTCTCATGATATTATTTCCAACTGTTTATAGAGGTTTCAATTAAAATAACTGTATCTTAGGAAATCTTAGTTCTTTTGGATGGTATCCTCGGTGATCTTGAAAAGAAAGCTTCATATTAAATTTATATTATTCCTTAATTTAAGTTACTTCCCTAATAGGTTTATCACTAAAATCAATTAAATATTGAAAGAAGAAGTAGATACCAAATACATTTTAACTGAGGACATCATACCAGGCATGTTCAACCCATGGCCCACAGACCACATGCAGCCCTGGACAGCTAGTAATGTGTCCCCACAAGACTGTAAACTTTTAACATTATTATATGATTTATATACATGAACTATATTATATATTTTATATGCAGCCCAAGACAATCCCTCTTCACTCAATGTGACCCAGACAAGCCGAATAGTTGGAAAACCATACGCTACATTTTCACTTTTCACCAACACAGTATTATTTTTCCCCCTTTTTGATCTCATGATGCTGGTTGGATTTGGTGATTGATTCATTCTTGGCTCTATCCTGGTTTATACCAAACTAGAGCAAAAAAGTTTCTTTGTCTTTGAGCAGACCCGTGCTTTATGCTTGGCCCATTGCCTAGCATGGGCCTCCCAACACTTCCTGAGTTCAACAGAAAGAATATCCAGGCCCATTGCAAATGCACTCCCACCCAAGTTTTCCAGCTTCAACTGAGCTTTCGTAAAGCCTTCGGAGTGAACATTTTCCAGCACTTTGTTCAATACTAGCAGCAATTTCAGTTCTGATTGGCTGAAATGCCGGGCATATTTCTCCCCTTCCGCAGTTAGTTCTGCCTTGGGCAGCCATTTTATCCTGAACTTGCCAGATTTGTTTATTTATTTATTAAATTTATATGCCACATGTTCACTATATAAAGTGACTCTCGAAAGCTTTATAGTGACATAAAAGCATACCTCTAAAAAGATGAAAAGCACTAAAATTAACAATAATTAAAAAAAGTTAAAAGTTAAAAACACAGGCAGTGAAGAGGTTTGTTTTTGTCTCTGTCATGTAGCTGGAATGTAGGTTGCTACATTCTCCATATTTATCTTTATAATATTGCAATTGATCCATAATAGCCTGTAAACCAGACAACATGTTTTATCATTCTCCTCCTGGAGAGTATTATAACTAAAATGAGCTGGAGGACTGGGATAACCTAATGTAAATGGTCATATTTAATTTCCTCAGCTTCCTTTTATGAGTATGCTTGTCTTCAAAGATCTTTTGTAGAGTTGAAATAGGCATGTTATTGTCTGCATGAACAACAAGAGTTCAACCATCAAGCCCTTTTTTGGACAATAAATCCACAGTGCACATACACTAAAAAAAAGTTTACTTAATGCTTTAAAAGTTCAACAACACATGTTCTCAAATGTCCTTGGGGGGGAAACCCCCATTTCTTTGTGTATTATTCTCAGTTCTGTCTTCCCTACTTAGCACTCAACAAATGTGTTGGACTACAAATCCCATAATCTTGAATCCTCTCATTATCTGGAGACTACTAGACTGAGAAACTCTGCTTTAAGTTGCAAATATTACACTGCACATAATTATGCAGAAGAGTTCCATCCAGGAAAGATGCTTGCTTCAAAAATAAACAAAACCAAAGACAGATTTAGGGTACCTCCTTAAGGTTTTCCTTTCTTTCCTCTTTCCTCTTTTTTTCTAATCAACTTTTTTTCCCCTGCAGTTCCTCTCCCTATAAAGTATAAGAATATTAAAGTTATATTACAAGTGCCAGGAACTCAGTGGCAAAAGAAACTGTTAACATGAAGCCTCCATTAAGGCATTCTTCACATGCCTTAAAAAATCCGCCCTCACCTTAAGTTTCCATTTTTCTTTCTTTGGATTTTGGTGACCAAAATACCTGCAACATTCCAACTGAGACTTCACCAACAACATCATTCTATTACCCCCAAACTCCATGTTGCCAAATTTCACTGGTAGATGGCTGAAAATTGACAATTGGCACATGAACATTGTCCTGTAAACCTGAAACAAGCTTCAAAAGTAAAACACTTTGCAACTAAAAAAAAATCCGTGTTTTCTTAAAAACAATCCAAAAATCTCTACAAAATCTCATACATGATGCTGTTGTATCCATTTTTATAATTGTGCTGCCCACTAAGAAACTTCAAACTTCTTTCCCTAATGTTATTTATCATCTCCAATTGGGTCTGTCTGTCTATCTGTCTCTCTTTGTGTGTGTGTCTCTCTCTCATCACACACACACACACACACACACACAGAGAGAGAGAGAGAGAGAAAGAGAGAGAGAGAGAAACACATAAATCTGTACTCCCATTACAAGCTAGCTTGTGATAAACAAAATTTTCAGTAACTGCTCAGTGCTATAAACGTATGGAATAAGAAGTTTAAAAGTGTTTGAAAGACCTTACTTCCAGATAAGTAAACATGAGCAATCCCATTCTATGTCTGTAAAAACATCAAAGCCAATATCATTAGGATCAGTAAACTAGTATTAACAATTTATACAATAATTTTTTTTCGTTATCTTTAATGTATGTTTGGAATGCTGAACATTTTTAGACAGTATCGACTCTGGTATCGACTCAAGAAGCTTTACATTCTCTATAATTCATCCAGGACATCCAGGAATGTCATTTTGTAACATACCAAAGCTAAAAAAAAAAAAAGAATCATATTAGCTACAATCCAAACGTCTGGCATTAGAAATATCTGCAAAACTGCGCAGAGTTTCAGCCATAGACAAAAAAAATCTCCTTTCATTGTTTTTAGTACTTTTATCCAGATTCGGAAGAAAGTTAAACTAAAATGCATTTCTGAAAATAACACTGTAGGTGACTTAAAAATAGAGGAAGAGTGAAACAGGATGTTAGCTAAAAATACATTTTAAAAAAAGCTACCAGTTCTCTTGAAAACTGTACTTACACCTCTCCTGTAGGGAAAAGAATGTCTCTCCTGCAGAGAGATTCAAAACAATGGTATACCAATGTAACAAGATCATTCACTTTCAACAGTCCTCCCAACTCTCTGAGGGGTAACAAATACTACTGGGGTGCAGGGAGATTTTTTTTTTCCATACTGTAGAAAAATCTTGATTTGTTAAATGTGCTCCACACTGGCCCATTCCATATCATTTACTAAAGCATAGCAAAACACAGAAATGTGCATCTAATGCTAACACATATAGAATTAAATACTTCAGTGCAATTTAATACTTTTAAATGTAAAAGTACCTGAAACAATGTTTGTGCCTACGGAAGAAACCAAATGTATATCCATTTTCTGCCTATGGGTTATAAACAAAATAAAGCTTGCATTACAGTGGAGATATTTCAGACCTCAGCTTAAATATAAATATGTCTACTTCAGGAAGGACTTGATTATTGACAAGTAAAGTAGTCACAATCTTTCTAGAAACAATATGGAAGTGATTTCCCATTGCTTTTTATCTAGGATTTCTTTTTTAAAAAAAATATTGTTACTATCAGCTTGGTCTTTGGCCTAGGTATATGTTAATGTTTTGTCATGCAAATATTAAGCATTTATTTCTTTTCTTTTTTTCACAGCAGAACCTCCCACAAAATTTGATTTGCTCCCACTCTACTATTAAGTTTATTGGTCTAATGGTTTTCTGCAGGCTATTAAAATTGAGTTATTTCAGAGAGCTTTCCAGGAGATGAGCTGATGCTATCAGACAGATTGTTGTGTGATCACTTGGTTTTGTGATTATCTTCCTTTATCTTCCTTTAAAATGGCTGTGCTTATAGGGCTGGTGCATGTGAATCAAAGAGTATTTTGGATTGCAGTAGAGTACTACATCTAATTAATAAATGTAACAATTCAGCTTGCTAAATGTAAAATGATTACAATTCAACATGAAGGGATTGAGATACAAGCTCAAAGGAGTTCAATTGCTAGGCAACTGTACATAGAAAAAGGGGGAGAGAGAATACACAAAATGCAATGAAGTAACAGAACAAGATTCCAGCTCTGGTCTACAAATAAGTAAACACCATCTTGGGCAATGTGGGCCTATAATTAAAGAACAGCCTGACCTTATCCATGCAGCTGATTTCAGAGGATTTTGGACTTCAACCGGGCAAAAGATTACAGCAGGAAAGGTGAAGCACGTGGGTGCTTGAATTTAATGTTTGAGCTGCCAACTGTCTGGTTTGGTTCTGCAATCCAACAGGACAGACACAGACTTCAGAGGATAATTAGGACTGCAGAAAAAACAATTACTACCAAACTGCCTTCAATCGAGGACCTGTATACTGCAAGTGTCAAAAAGAGGGCTGTGAAAATATTTACAGACCCCTCACATCCTGGACATAAACTGTTTCAACTCCTACCCTCAAAATGACGCTATAGAGCACTGCACACCAGAACAACTAGACACAAGGACACTTTTTCCCCGAACGCCATCACTCTGCTAAACAAATAATTCCCTCAACACTGTCCAACTATTGATAAAGTCTGCATTACTATTACTATTAATCTTCTCATCTTCTTATCACCCATCCTCTCCCACTTGTGACTGTATGACTGTAACTTTGTCGCTTGTATCCTAACGATTTATATTGACTGATTCCTAGTATGATTTGATTGCTTATTGTACCCTATGACTATTGTTAAGGGTTGTACCTTATGATTCTTGACTCTTGACAAATGTATCTTTTCTTTTATGTATACTGGGAGCATTTGCATCAAGACAAATTCCTTGTGTGTCCAACCACACTTGGCCAATAAAGAATTCTATTCTATTCTATTCTATTCTATTCTATTCTATTCTATTCTAT